TCCCGTGCCTCCTTGGGGTAATTGGGCAGCTCCAGGGGGAAACGAGCCCATTTGGCTAACACCCCTACACAGTTACCTTCATCAACCAACCTTGTAAGCACATCCAGCAATGAAAGCAGGTTTGTTTGACAAGGTCAGTTTTCCATAAAACCTTGTTGACTGGCATTAATTATATTCCTTTCATTCTTTATTGATTAACTCCCGTATCAGCTGTTCCATTATTCTGCCCCCCAGGATTAGAGGCCAGTTCGCCTGACATCAATTACCCAGCTCATCCCGTTGTCCGTTTTGAATACTGGCACATTAGTACTCTTCCTGTCTCCTGTAACTTTCCTGCTACTCCCTGGCCAGAGATCTCCTTAGCCAGCTCCTTTAGGACTCTTGGGTGCAAGTTATCCTGCCGATTAAACAATGTTCATTGCTAGCAGTTGTCACTTATCACCCTCCTAAGTCACTAATGGGTTGGAAAACACTTCATCATCCTCATGGAACCTGAGTACAGCATCCTGCTTCTCTCCAGATGTAGAACAGAACTACTTCTTGAACTCTTCTTGCTTTTCTGCATCGTTCTTAACGATTTGGATTTTGTAAGGCAGAGCTGAAGTTGCCGTCTTCCCATCACAGCTTACAGACTCTTCAGTCACAAGATGCCAGGCCACCAGTGCTGGAGGAGAGTGGGGAGCAGAGACATGCCAAGGAACAGAGTCCAGTCCAAAAGGAACTGTTCTGTCCCCGTGAGGAAGATCATTCCTTCGACACACCCCTCAACACAGACACAGCTCGGCAGGGCGGGGCTCTCTGCAGTCACATGTGTAGTATTTGTAGTATGGAGGACTCGGAATTCATGTGTTCTCACTCACCCCCACACAAAGTTGGACTGCGAAGGGGCCGCGTGACGTTCCCTACAACACCAGCATGCTTCTTTTGCCAGACTCATTATGGGAATTCCACTTCATCCAGACAATTCTTTCTGCTTCCGACACACAGAGTTCCCCTTTTCACATCACAGGCAGCACGGCCGGGAGGGGGACAGACACATGCGTAAGGACTGCCAGAAACCCTTGTCATGGACATAGGGGTTTCTCACATCGGAGATGGGTTCCAAAACTTGGGAGAAGAAAATCCAGAAAGTAGGAAACAGCGCCAGAATGACTTCCTGCCAAGGGGGGCGGGGGGAGCAAACACCTGGCATAAGTTACATGGGGAACAAGGGACATGGAGCCTGGTGTTCTTGGAAGAAGGGAAGAGGTGCAGAGGCAAGGCCTAGATCAGACACGTCTGTGAGTGGGAAGCGAACCTATCCACTGAATGGAAAGGGGCAATAGCAACGCCCTGCTAGGGACACGGGCAATACAGCTCTAACCCAAATGAAGGAGCAAGGTGGTAATACTGCAAAAGGGAAGGCAGTCAGTCCCAGGAGAGCCGATGTCACGACAAACCAGCCCACTGGGAATACACAGGGGCGGGCTGCTGGAGAAGGAAGCTGAAGGAATATGCAGGTAGTCAGGGAACAGAGTCAGCTGTGGGCTTGAGGAGCTCCAGAGGCACAAAGGGTCTGTCTGCCCTGCAATGAGACCCCTGTGGCTGGCTCGTGCCAGCTGCCTTGGGCTTGCGGGGCTCGGGCCAAGGGGCTGTTTAAGTGTGGTGTGGACTTTCAGGCCTGGGCTGCAGCCCGAGCTCTGGGACCCTCCCACCTCGCAGGGTCCTACGGCTCCGGCTCCAGCCCAAATGTCTACACTGCAGTTACACGGCCCCTTAGGCCGGGTCAGCTGGCCCAGGCCAGCCGGGGGGTCTACTTGCAGTGCAGACGTACCCACAGAGAACGACGCTCCTCGGGACGCAGGGCTCTGATACACATCACTCTGCTCTCTTTACTGGCAGCTCCAATGGGAACTGGATCAGGCCCACTGCGCCGAACCCCACTCCCAGTGCATGGCTCCCGGGAGGTCGCAGGGGATGTGGAAAGTGGGCAATAAGCCCCACTCTTTGGCCTGCATCTCTGCTAACCCAGGAGAGCACTGCAGGGACCTCGCCTCATGCAATGGCTGCACCTCATTCATCCCTGTGTCCCCCACCCAGAGACATGGAAAGAGCCTTTTGTAGTGCATACAGACGCTCCCCGGTTACGCACAACCCGACTTACGCCAATTCGCACTTATGGAAAAGCCAGAAATAGGATTTTTGAGTTGCGGAAATTTTGCGTAACGAACGGGTATACGTTTCCGACTTACGCAACATTCGAGTTACGCAAGGCTTTCCGGAACGGAATGATTGCGTAAGTGTGTGTGTGTGTGGGGGGAGGGGGAGCATGTCTGTACACTGGACTTCTAACCCCAGTGCATTCTGAGATTCTACAGCACCTACCCCATAGGCACTGGGCAATTTCCAAAGGTGAAGCACTGCGTTTTGGGATGGGGTCTCAGCACTGGCGAACTCCGTGCAGACCAGTCCCTGTGGGAAGCAATGATTGTACATGGTACCAGCTCTGCAGCTGACACACACCAGCTCTTAGATGTTGTAACCAAGGCCTGAAGAACAGCAGCGGCAGGAGGCCCCAGGCCGTGTGCCTGTTACAAACTCCAGGGGTCTGAAGCACTGGTTTCTTGCAACACTTGTTCACTTAGTGCACGCAGCCCTTGGTCTGATGTCAGCCAGGAAAAACCTGTCTAGGAGCTGCTGCCTGCAGAAGTCCCATGAGTTAAAGCATCACCACATTTTCTGTACAGCCAACAGAGAGACAAGCACCACATGATTAACCACGACATTAACTACCGACAGAGGATAGAGAGGGAGGGAAGTTTTGAACACGCTCAACTTAACAATGCAATTTTTCTTTTATTGTTATTAAAAAAGCACTCCTCAGAGGCGTGCAAGTGTCCAACATCCGTCTGGCACATCGACATGGGCTGAGTTGCACGCTCACCCCCAATGGGCTCGAAAACAGAAACATCCTTGAAAATTCAGCCCTTAAACCTGGGATGGGATTTCAGCAGGGAAACCACAACACGGAATTTAAAGACCTCCCCCCCCCCCCCCAAACTAAACCCCAGATCGTCTATCACTCAAACTTGGAGCCATCCCCTGCTCTGCTGAGATGTGCCAGAGAAACCTGACTTCGGCATCTGCTGTTTTCTTTCGCTGAAGCTGGAAGCAGGAACGTTGGCTCTTACGGACACGGGTGGTAACAGCTCGAGCTACTGCTCAAAAGGCAGAGCACCCAGCACCTGGAGCCAGGCCCCACGCGGCGGTGCCCAGGGCTGCAAAGGGCAGTTACAGTGGAAACCGAGCAGCTCTCGGGACCATGGCTAGTGCCTAGGACCCTCTCCGCCAGCTTCACTCCCCCAGCACAGAGAGGACAGAAATAAAGCTTTCGACCACAGAAGAGCCGGCAGGTGAGAGGCCATTTGTTTTATAGATATTTGTATGTATATATATAGATATTTATATATACAGAGATAGATAGATAGAAGTGGGCGCTTCTTCTCTCATGTAAAAATCCAAAATACAGTTTTTACTATTAACAATCTGAAGTGTAAATGTACAAATTTTTACTGCTAAGCAAAAACAACCAAACCAAACCAAAAAACAACACAAAGAAAAGAAACACACACGGAGCAAGAGAAAAGAAAAGAGGAAGTTCGGCTTCTCCGTGGCTGGGCTGGGGGAGCCGAGGGGCCCTGCCACGCACACACGGAGCAGCAGGGAGCGAACTGCGTGGCAGAGACCACCAAGGGACCCAGCCCATCAGCGCCAGGTTTAAAAAACACCAAGTCCACCTCACTGGGGAGGAGGGGGTATTCCCCGCCGCAAAACCACAACCCCTTCTACATGTCCAGGAGCATCGTGCGGCCCTGCCGCCACGCCCCGTCTCCATGGCAAGGGCGACGCGCCTGCTGACCTTCGCCAACTGTTGGGACCTTGTGCAGGGCATGGCCGCCCCCCTCGCCTGGGGTGTAGAACGAAACACAATCTCACTTAGTGACTAGCTATTCTGTGACCACCCAGATCTCCCGCCTGCACTTCCAAGCCCCGGTGCCTGTCTAGCCTCTCTGGGCACAGGGATCGGCACTGCTCAGCCCCCGAAGACTGCCAACCTGGAGGAGCACTATACTGGGTGGCTAGAATCTAAAGCAGATTTCAAAACACCTCATTAAGCACACACACAAATGAAATCCTCACAGTGCCGGGGGAAGCAAACATGGACCGAAGGGTGTTTAGAGCTTTCAATGTCTGTGCAAAGCAAGGAGGCTGGTGGCTGGATTTCCCTTTACAGCGTATTCTCGCACTCAGCCTTAGGATACGGCAGGGTCCTTGGGTTTGGACTGCTCAGTCCCCGACAGGAGAGAGATGGTGGGGTCTTCGGAGTACTCCTCGCCATCGGTGAAATACGGCCCTTCCCCCAGCTCAAAGAAGATGGGCAGGTCTCCGCTCCCCATGTCGACAGCGCTCGAGTCCACCAGAAAGAGGGGCTGAGCTGTGTAGTGCACCAGCTGCTTCCCTGCAAGGAGACGGCTTGTGTTAGGAGGGGGATCTCAATGGGGAGGAGGGACTCGCAGGCCCAGGGCCAAACGCTGGGGGGGGGAGGAGACATTGGAGTAGCCTCTTAGCAAAGAGCTTGGCACCGGGAGCAGAACGTGAATGGGCTTTTCCAACAGTAACTGCAGCTCAGGGACACCCCCGTGTTACAGCTGGGACCCGGGCACATGGCCGCTCAGCACGTCTCTGGCTGAGCAGGAATCAGCGTGGAGGAGGGCCTGGTTCCCAGCTCAGACCCTAGAGCATGCTGTCTCTGGACTGGGGAGAAGGCATGCCCAGGGGGCTCATGGGCCTCGCCCTTCAGCAGTGTGAGCAGCACACAGAGGGGCCTGCTTCTGAAACGGACTCTGCCCGGCAGGGCTGGCATGTCAGCAGGTAGCCAGCCGGGACCTGTCTCGCTCGTGCCATCGGAGGCCAGGAGAGGAGAGTACAGCGTCCGGGGGAAGGAAAGGGTACGCACGGCAAGCTGAGAAGGAAGCAGCCCTGCGGTCACAGACAAGAGTCACCTGCAGTACAAGGAGGGGGATGAAGATTTAAAACGGGGAGAAAGATGGGAACTGGTTGGTGAAAACTCCGACGCGGGCTCAGAACGCACTGGGCACACACCTCCAGGGAGCCATCCCCTGGCCCAGCTTGGGAAAGGGAAGGGGGACACGCAGGTTACCGCCAGAGGCTGCATGCCCAGCCAGGGTGGTGGTGGTGAGGGGAGAGCCAAGCCCCTGGGGAATACAGAGAACCAAGGGAGAGCCCCCACCTAGATGCCAGGGGCCTCCACCCAGAATCCCAAGCAGCGCAGTGACAATACGCACACCTAGATTTAATCATCACTGTTTCTTTGAGAGTTGCTGCTGCCTGGAGAGATCCTGCCACTGGGCCTTGACCCCTCTGCTCACGGGTCACTAATGGGAGGATGCAGGGCAGGGGCCTTCTTACCCATGTCTGCTGTGCTGGCCTCTGTCTCAGCAGGTTTCTGCTGTTCCTGGGATGAGAGGAGATCCTGGATCTGTGGGGAGACAAGTTGGGCTGCTAAGTGCACCGCACAAGTCAAACTCCTTTGCACAGGGAGCCGGGAGAGGGAAGGGACCTCTCCCTTGGCTACCTCAGGATAAGTGCACACACAGCTGTGGTTTGTAATCTGGAAGTGCCAGCAGGTGGGAGATGGGCATCAGCATTCAGAAGACTAAAATACACCTGGACCTAGGGAACAGCATCAGTGAGCTACTGCAGGCTCTAAGTCTGTTCAGCCTGCTCCAGTCTCCCGATGCCCAAGGCTGCCTTGTAGAACTGTACGGACCAGCTCTGCTTTTCATCCAGATGTGGCCTGAGACCTGCAGTGCTCACCTTGATCTGAGCAGGAAGCCATATTGCATGCTGGGATCTGTAGTCACCCTGGGCAGCCCTCAGAACATGCTTGCAACAGAACATGTTTTATGCAAAGTCTTATTGTTACCAATACGAAAGGCAAGAGCACGCTTCACATTGCCGGTGAATGGTCAGCGTGGCCTTTGGACACCAGCCCTGCAGTAAGAACGAGACTGGGCTGGGAAGTAGGAGTAGCTTTGTAGGGCTATAACAACAGGAGAGAAAGCTGCGGGAAATGGCAGAATGCCTCTGACGGTCCCAAACCTTCAAGTAACTGCCCCAGGCGGGTAAAGAAAACTGGGTCATTAAGGCTTGACAGTCTCTGGGGGGAATCACTGCTAATCCCAGGACCAGACATGCTGCTGTGTTTGGATCAGGGGTTCTTCAACCTTTTCATAGTGTGGAAACCTGGTTAATGCAGGGACTGCCTCATGGGTTCATGGCCTGTCGTGACTGCAGCAACTGCTTCTATGGAAAAGCCACCTTAGGAGGACGTTTAAATGTATATTTAGCTTCTTTTAACTCTATCTTGCAGTCAGAAGAAGCTGGCCCCATGTGCACACACCCAGCTCTCTGGACTCAATCCCACCACACTCTGGGAACCTGTGCAGCCGAGTCTGTCCCCAGCAGTGCAAAGGCAAAGTGAGGACAGGAGGAAATCAAATGTCCATCCCCGCGTTAGAGAAGAGAGAACTATGACATACTGCACATAAATCCGAACCACTTCGTTAGCTGAAGAGTTAAGCTGTACATTTTACAGGAGCCCAGTTAAAAGCCCATCAACAAATCTCACTTACAAATACTTGACAGCTTCCCTAAAAACCCAAAGGCTGGACAGTCTAGAAATGAACAGTTCAGGGATCCAACCCTACAGCCATATCATTCTTCCCTGTTCCTCACCATCCCGCCTGCCCTGCCCTGCCCCCAAGAATCCTAGCCACATCCCACCCAATCCGGGCCCCACCTCTTCCTCGGCAGAGCAGCCCCTGCCGCAGAACCAGCACTCAGCAGAAGGGCAGTTTAAATAATTTACAGAGTCAATGTTATAAACATGACCCAGGTCTTTGTGATCCCCCAGCTCTCCCCCAGTAACACCCAGAGGCCCCCGTCTGACTCAGCCAGACGTCTGGTGTTTGGGGCCAAGCCATTTTGGGGGTAGGAAGGTAGGAAAATGTTCAGAAAGGGAATGATGGATATTTGTGAAAGATCTTAATTGCAAAACCCCTTTCCTGAAGGTTACCAAACCTCCCAGACAAATCCTACCTGGCCTACGAGAGCTCAGGGGAGCTGGTCATTTTTGGGAGAAGTTACACGGAAGTTGAAAATGGATCTTATAGTTGTAAGTTAGGATCAGTCTGAACTATGGAGTGGCTACCACTGGCCCATTACATCCGGGTGAGCACCTCTATCGCAGCATTGGGCCTGTGAGCATCTCAGGGCCGGGACGGGCTGTTCAGCACTGAGACGGGGGGAGGGGAGGAGGACGGTAACTATCTTTTAGTGGAGCAACTTCTGTTGGGGACAGAGACATGCCTTCGAGCTGCACAGAGCTCTTCTCTAGCACTGACACATTGCTGGTGCCGTGCAGTACATACGATAACAAATACTACAATATGCCGTGGAAATCACTGGAGTTTGCCTTTAAAGGAAACCTCTTCTGAAGGTTTACAAAGCAGAAGGGAGGGTTTATGGAAACCACATGCAGTTCTATGGGCTTCAGTGCGGCTCAGTGCTGGGGGAGCAGGGCCGGCCTGAGAGATGACGTCTCAGCACCTACTTAGCGCAGCGTGAATGATGAGGCACATCTGCTCCCTGAACGAATCAGTCAGAGGAAGCCTTGGTGCTAACGGAATGATTTCCGCCTGGTGGAGACTCTCCCCCACACTGCGGCCTGGGGCTGGCCAGGACTCCCTTCAGAGCCTGTCAGGGCCTTCCTTTCACCAGGGGCAGGGGCTGCTGCTGAGCGGCACGAGACACTCTGTTCTGGCAGCTGTGTGTGCATGGAGGGATGTTTCACAGCTACTCACACTCGCAAGGCTGCTGTCCAGGTCAGGAAGGTTCATGTCTGTAACCGTCATTGAAGGGCTAAACAGCTGCCAAAGGAAAGAACTATTAGCGCAGGGAAGGAAAACGCCCCAGGCACGCTGTGGAAATTCAGTGGCTGCTGCCCTGACGCACATGGTACCGCGGGCCACAGCTCGGTCCCTGCTCTGGGAGGGAGGGTTCGAGATACTCACATCCAGCAGAGCACTAGTGTCCACACTGAAGCCGTGCGTGGTCAGCATGGTTTGGAGGTTATCCAGGTTGGAATCAATGGTATCCAGATGGTCATTTAGCTCATTCCTGTGTCACAGAAAGGAGAACACAGACCAGGTCAAGGTTAGCAGACTTCCTCTGAGCTCACACAGGGGACTCGCTCAACCTCTATTAAACCTGAGCAGGAAAGCAGAGTTTGGACTCCTGGCTACGTACACACGTGTGCCAGCCTCCAATTCTGTCCTTGCCAGTGAGCTCAGCTATGCTGATACACCACCGGAACAAGGCTGTCACCAGGCCTGTTCCTGCCGAGAGGGGGAAGGGCCAGCAACTCAGATGAGGACGCAACAGTGGGTGTCTTATGACACCACATATGGTTAATATTCCCAGAATGCACCAGGACTCCTAACACCATTTAGGACAGGGTCTCATTATACTCTGCACCTCTACAGCCGGAAGCTTTGGACTCGTTCTTTGGTCCTGCCATAGCTGATATGGGGCAAGGAGAGGGTAAAGGCCCTGCTGATATCAGTCTGGGGAAAAGGGGTCCCAAGAGCCCTCTACTGGTCTGATCAAAGCCCTGTCTGTGGAACGGGCACTGGAAAAGTCTCATGCCATCATAACAAAAGCTGTTGGTTTGTCCCATGACACTAAAGGTAACTGGAGTTGTTCCCACTCATCTGGGAAAGCAAACGTCCCAGCCTGTGCGCACCTCTGCATGGCTAACGGGCATGGGAGGACGTATGTATACGTACAATGTGTACAGCACAAGGTTCCCCCTGAAATCATACCACAATCATAATCTAACAGCAACAGCTCAGGATAACGGCTCAGTGCCAACCAGGTCAGGCAGACTGAGTGACAAACATGGCTGACTCTCCGGGCCCTGCCTTAGGGGAACCCAAGTCACCCCTAGGAGGTAGGTTGTTCTGGGAGGACTAGAGTGAACTGACACAGACCTGGGTCTGGTAGATTTCGCTGATGGTTACCTGGATAGCAAAAAGATAATAATCAACGCTGAAGTGGGAACGAAGGAGTGGGGGGAGCTGGCTTCAATTCCTGAACATGAGCATTGGCCTGCTAAATCCAGCGTTGTGAGTTCAATCCTTGAGGGGGCCCTTTAGGGATCTGGGGCAAAAACTGATCCTGCTGTGAAGGCAGGGGACTGGACTCGATGACCTTTCAAGGTCTCTTCCAGTTCTATGAGATAGGTATATCTCCATATATTATATTATGATTATTATTCTTGTTCCTTGATGTTCCTTGAGCAAACGGATGGCATAAATCTGCACGTTTCCCAGATGCTTGGGTGCAGACGGGGATCACCTTCTCTCGGAAATACGCATGAATGCTGGGACTACTCTTCTCGGGGCCTGTGCCTTGGGAACACTGGGCCGTGCAGAAGCCCACTGAGGTTAGTGGAGTTCAGTGCTAGATGTGACCCATCGTAGCTTCATCTGTGGGCCACGGAAACCCAGAGCATGAGCTCCTTTCCCAAGTGGATGGCACTCCATGTTGGGAGGGAGACATGGCGCTATTACTGCTCCTTGCACCAAGGAGCTGTATTTTGGGTTGATTCCTAGCGACATGCTGCTTGGAACCCAAGAAAAGCAAGGCCTGCCTGTTCAGGAGAGCGCTCCAAAGGTCTGCAATGGAAGTCTCAGCTCTAGCATGCTGGAAGCACGCTTGAACACATGGTTCCAGGTTCGATGAGCACCACCAGACTCTTTCGTCCTCTGAGGAATCTCACCGGCTCCTGGAGATGGTGACGGACGAGGACTGAAAACGTGTGGTGGGTCAATAAACTTTCAGGTGTCTTTAGTCCAGGTGTTCTGACAACATAGAGCCAGTGCTTGTCTGGAGCTCAGCTGAGGAGATGTACTCCTGGCGAATGAAGAGGAAGACAGCAGAGGAACACGTATATGTTGGGGGAGTGCAAAGCAAGCTCAGAAGGAGCAGTCATCCGTCATCTGCTCCACACTGCCTGTGTTGGCAGCATGATGCTATAAATGCCACTGAAAAGCGAGTGAAAAACTACACAAAAGCTACTTCTCCCTTCTCTCTGGAAACCTACACCTGGCTAACATTTGTTTCTCCAACTCCTGTGCCCAGGGAGTGTCCTGCAGAACAGAATACCTCCTTGGCCACTCCTAATATCTTTACAATTACCTCCCTTCAAGGAAAATAATGCTTCAAAGCTCTTGCAGTTAGAGTATCACCTGCCTGCAAAGAATGGTGACACCAACCACAGAACCAAGACTGTCTGTCATCACTGCTGGTAATGGACGCTGCAAATTCACATCTCCCAGCTAAGAAAATCTAACTGCAGAAATGATTACGCTGTCAGAATAACCACACACACAGACCGTAGGAACACTGCTAGGGGGCGCAGGAAAAGCTGGGCACAGACAAGAACCAAGAACACACTCCTCTCTTAGTTTCCCTGTATATATAACCAGGAATCACAAAGAGATTTTGTAGTTCTTCCAAGGCCCAGGCTCTGCACATGCTCCACAGATAAGTCACTTACCTGTGTACGTTCCCCAAAGAGCGTACTCTGCACAGATTTCCAGCCCAGTCGAGGCCTTCAGTACATAGTACCAGGAATGCGCTGCTGGATTTGAGGTATTTCCAGCAACCCCAGTTAGAAAACAGCTTTGACTAGCATGGACTGGGGATGCCAAGGGTCACGAAGTGAGGCTGGAATGAAGCTATGACATTTGAACACAGCTAGTTTCTTTATTGCCAGGGGGCTTGGAGGGCAGACACACAGAGCAAGGAGTTGACCACGGTCACACAAGTCAGTGGCAAAACTTGGATTGGAATATTCAGGAGTTTCAAACCACTTCCAAACCCTTCCAGAGCAGCCTCTTAAAATCTCCCTGCAGCTCTTGGAGGAGAGAAAGGAATTCTGTCCCAGTGTTTTCTAACCTTGGTGATACAGCCTGGTTCTCCCGCTGCTGACAGGTAAACCCCTCTTCCTGAACTCGGGCTCTGAGGTCTCTGAACTGCACTCTCCAGCTGGCTCTGACGCCAAACGCTCTGTGGCAGGGAGGGATGATGAGCAATGCACTCATACTCTACTTCCTCAGTGTACTCCGGGTGGTAGGAAGAGGAGTCCACGACGATGCTTGCCTCCAAGGAAGATCAGAGGGAGGGCAGTGCATGTGGCCCTGAGAAGGATGGTGCTTTAAGAGTCTAGTAAGGTTTGCCCCGGTGTCTCGGTATCTTACCAACTCGAGAGGGATGGTCTGAGGGAACTCAAAAGAGGCAAAGGGGAGAGACACGTGCTGACCTCTGAGTATGGGAGGGAGGTCAGAAGACTCCTTCCACAGTGCTGAAATGAGACTAGCTCCTGTTCAAGTCGGATCCTCTGGCGAAGAGGGGTCCTGATCCACACAGCTGGCAGAAAGAGCAACGTGCACACTTCCTGGAAACCGAAGAGCCAGAAGGAGCTGTGAGACACAGCAGCTGTCATCACTGTGAGCGCGGAGTGCCTAGAAGCGCAGCACTGCTGAGTGGAGACGGAATTCTGACATGAGGCAGAACACCCTGGAGGCGCAGGCTGGAGGCCATGTGACCCAGTAGTAAGAGCTATGAAACAACAGCTGCATTTTTGGAGAATGAACCAGACTAATATACAGTAGGTTTGTCTGTCCCCAGGTACATGAATCGCGGTGCAGAGAAAGCAGTTAAAAGCTAATGTAAGGAAGAAGGGGAATGATTTCAGGGATACAGATTTATACGCTTAAATGAACCATCAGAGGTTTCTTGAATGAAAGCTCTGGATATGGTTCACCAGACCCATTCTCCATTCACACACACTTTATAAAACAGTGCATCTTCACTGGAACCACTGCTAAGAGTCTCTCGTCTCTTTCTGTTCTGACTGCCAACTCCCTCATAAGAATAACAAACCTTTGCTGTACACCACACCTCACTCCAGCGCCAGCTCCTCAGCTCCCAGGGGCAGCCTGGCAGATAGAACACACGCTATCGTGAGAGACCCTTGCTGTCTGATTTTCCGTCTGAGGAAGTGAGGTGGGTTAGTGCACGCAGTGTGGTCTCTTTGTGTGGGCTGTTTTATAGTCTGAGAAGTAGCTATGTAAAAACAGCACCTTCTTATTCAACAGATCTGCTCTCTGTGGGCAGGTACGCGCATTGATGCTGGTGGTTCTACATCGGGGTGGGCAAACTACGGCCCCTGAGGGCTTTGGATCTGGCCTGCGGGATTGCCAGCCCCGTGGCGCTGTGGGGCTAAGATGGGCTCCTGGCCTGCCCTGGCCCAGGGCCGCTCCCGGAAGCGGCCAGCACCATGTCCTGGCAGCCCTTGGGGGAGGGAGGGGAGCAGAGGGAAGGCAGGGAGCCTGCCATAGCCCCATTGTGCGCTGCTGCCACACCGGAGCTGTTCCAGGTAAGCGGCGCTGGGCCAGAGCCCGCACCCCGAACCCCCTGCCGCACCCCAACCCCCTGTCCTGAGCCCCCTCCCGCACTCCGCACCTCCTGCCCCCCAACCTCCTGCTCCAGCCCTACATTCATGGCCCTGCATACAATTTCCCCACCCAGATGTGGCCCTCGGGCCGAAAAGTTTGCCCACCCCCGCTCTACATACTATAGGAGAGCAAGTCGGATTACGTTCTGCCTCATGCACGGTCAGTGACGTTCTGATTGTAGGAGGCAGACAGAATGCAGCTTGCCTCAGTCCCCATGGTGAGTTTGCAGGGCTGGCAGGGCGAAAAAACTTCTTGACTTGTAAACAGAGCAAGTTTGGCTATGGCCAATAGCCCTGGGAGATAATTAAACTCGTCCGCCCATTACGACAGCATCATAGTCGCTCTTTCTTCGCACTCCAACTATACTTTATACGTGTTGTGCTCCGCTAGCAGCTGCCTAATTCGCTAGTGTCTGCCACAAGACAATCTCCCTCTCAGACGTTCCGCTTGCTGGCAGCAATAAGACAGGCCAGACTGTGGCAATCTATCTAACGTCACACCGAGGAGGCTGTATCTCTCTTGCATCTACTCGACGGTCTCACTAACAACAGCGTGGTAAATGGGGATGGCTGCAGTGGGGAGTTTCATTGTTCCTTCTCTATTGTATGAAATCATTCAAGCCCTGGGCTCACACCGGATTCCATGAAATGATTCATGCTTTGTATGGCTGAATTGCACACAAACGAAAGATGCCAGCTTGGCAGCTGTCAGGACTCTGGTCCAGCAGAGCCAGTCTCTGGGCAATCTAACGAGCACGTTCGAGCTACACTAGGCTGCCTGATTGGCGGGAGGAGTCAGCAGACCAGCTCTCAAGCCCAGCAGCAGCACCAGTTCGGCAGCTGCTCAAAGCATTTGCTCACGGCTGTGATATCTCCTGTGCCTGCTTATTTCTAGCCATTGGTCCTGGCTTGGCCCCAACCTTGCTGCCGTCTTGCCTCACTCCAGATAACCCGGCTCTGACTCCTAACTTCCAAAGATCCTTGACTCTGGCCCCTGACCTCCGACTTCCGCTCTGACCTTGGGCTCCTATTCCTGGATACCGATATCTGCCCAACCCCAAGGAACGACCACCCAAGTCCCAGTCCCCGAGAGCAGCTCTTACAGCCGTCTCTGTCATCCACAAAAGAGACAGAGCATCAGCAACATCAATACAGGCTTCCCTGCACCACCCTGCCAAGACCACCCGGAGGGATGAGAAGGGAGTTTAGTCTCCACGGCCCATTCAGTACTTAGCCTCTATGCGGAGTTGGCCAACAGGGCTGCCATTTGGTGCCAATTTTGGTAGTGTTTTTTTGTGATACGGACTCCAAAGAACTGCTTCGAAGCTAGTTCCTGTAGGGAAAGCTGACCTCAAAGCAAGGACAGCTCTCTGTTTAGCACAGTTCCCCTGCTTTCTTGCTCAGGACTGCAATGCCTCGGGACATCAGGCTATTGAAATGCTAACCCTTGCTGTGATCTGCAATGAAGTGAGGAAGAGGAAGAACTGGGGAAAAGACGAGTGACTTCTGACATCTGCGGAGCGCGAGTCAAACTGAAAAATACAAAGAGAAGAGGAATGCTAGATTCAAAAGACTCAGAATCAGACACTTTCAGGAATGAAACATTTGTTACTTTCAAAGGCAAGAACAGTTAATCAGCCATGCTCCTGTGCTTTAGCTAAAGTGGCATGCATCGCACTGCCCCCAAGTTATCGTAGGGCTTGCCAGCAATTCCAAGGCTGAGACAAAATTGTTATTAACGATAAAAACCACAAATGAACATTCCCCGCAAAAGAAAGCCAGAGGACAGCATGATTCCATCACAGCCATGCTCAGTTAGAAGGTTCTCAGCCAGACAACTACTTCTGAGGTGGGTCTGCTGTACCTCAGGGGTGGCTAAGGGCTGTACTGGGGCATCTAACTCATGGATCATAGTCTCTGTCATCTTTCAGATGGACCTGCGACCCCCTGAGAACACAGGGCACAGCGTGTGAGGCTCCATTTTAATCTGAATGGATGGTGGCCTGGGCCAAGATGGGCTGTAGTCTCCCTGGGATATCGCTCTACGTTACTGTTACACAGGGCAGCCTCCTTCTCCATTCAAAAGGCTTTGGCTCTTGAGAGGTTGCTTTGTGGCCCTACGTACTGAACTTCGCTCTCAGCTTTCCCTCTATAACATGCATCGCAGTGTAGCCACCGGCAGCTGAAACATGGAGCTATGGCATGCTTGTACTCTGGGGTGGCCCAAACGTGACCTGCAGATTTCTACAAGTCTGATCTCTCGTGGCTTGCCTGGATCAAGACGAGGCATCGCATGCTGGAACCTACAGCCTTGTGGGCTGCACCTCTCTCCTAAAGATGAGGGCAAATGAAACTTGCTCCATGCAATGGAAATGAGCTGTTGCTGTAGGATTCCTGGCAAGCTGCCGCTGCCTTATTCAGTGCAGGAGTCTGAGCACCCGGCTGTACATGAAGGTCCCCTGTCATCACTAACCCTTTGCCTTGACACGTGCAAACTCTTGGGAGCTTAGGAGAAGCCGCATGGAAAGGGTGCTGAGCTCCTGCCTACGCGGGGTATGATGCAGGCGTTTCACTCGCGCATGCGGCTCCTTTGGTCTCACAGGCTGGGGAGTGAGCACTGAATGGTGAACTCTGCCCACAGGTCGGGACCCCGGGAGAGACGGAGTCACTTAGCGCCGCATATTGAGCGGACTGACGTCGGGTCTGACCTCCCCCGGGGACATGCTAAACATTGTGTGGCCCATTTAATGCAGCCTGTTCCCAACATTTCGGGTAGCAGCTCACCCATTTTTATTCAGAATCTCAACCTGACTCAGGCATTGGCTTCAACACCTTCCCGCTGGGCATCCTGGCCTTTGCTAGAACCCTACTGATGCTCTGCTCACGCAGCCTGGGGGGGCTTGTGTGTAATTCTGGTACTAGGGAAAATGAGGCTCAGGTCTTGGTATTGGAAGAAAACTCACCTGTCTGAGATTATATAGCTCTGAAATAACAGCAGATGAGGTGTCCACTTACGCAGAGGAACTCAAACGCATACAGGGTGCTGGGAGGCACAGGAGCAAAGGCAAATGCCATCCAAACCCAGATACATGTGAGCATTGCAAAATAAATGGGCCTCCCCTTTTATTATTTATACGTAGCTTGTCGGCTCTTCGGGACAAACTGTCTCTATTTATCTAGGTCCAGCACAACGGGGCACTGGCCTAGGGCACTGCCACGCTATTGCAAGAGAGATAGTATTATCTTAAAAATGAATATGGCAGATGAGTTCTGAGTGATGGGATTCCTCGCTGGCTGGGCAATCTTACTGGCTGGAGTCCTTCATTTTGTCATGCTCTCTAACGGAGCTTTCCAGATGCAAACAGATGAGGTGAGCAAAGCGTTACCTGCAGGTTAATAACAAGTCAGACAGGGAGAGACCTAGAGGAAGAGGCGGCATATGTTCCTCACTCAAATAACCCTAGGACGGGGGTGTGTCTCGCTTGCCACTGAGGCAGGGTTCAGAGATGCTCTGTGTTCTTTGCCTGCCCCTTCAGAGCCTGCAGCCTAGTCCGAATGAGTCAGAAGCACGCATCAGCTGTCACCTTTACTGCATGTCCAGCTCTTTTAAATGGTCGTGTTTACAGCTTTTGTTGAGCCACCTGCCTGTGCTTAAAGACAACTGGAATTGCCCATTTTATTTTCTGCATAAATGGGTTGCAAGGAGTCTAACCTAGTGCTCCCTAGCGACAAGTCTGCCCCCAGGCCGAGAAGTGGGGGAAAGCCTGCATTTTCTGACTCCTTGCGACACACATGGGCCTCAGAGTTCCACAATGCAGCTAACAGTCCCACATCCTTACTATGGGGGTGGGGGCAGCCTTGAGAGACTACAGAGCCCAACATGCAATGCTCCATCTTGAGTTCGGCTGCTTTCCACTACTACTAGGACAGGACACTGGATGCTGGGGACGCTCATCTCCTGATATCCCCTCTCCATTACAGAGCACGGCTGCAACCAGCCCCAATTGGGTTTAAACTGCAGCAAGGGAGGTCTAGGTTGGACATTAGGAAAAAGTTCCTA